TGACTTTACAAATGGTACTTCATAACTAAAAAATCGAATAATCAGCAAGTAAACTGAAAACCTAAAATTTGTTTGCAATATTATAGATCATACACCCCAGACAAAACGTGTCGCTACAATACACTTTCCTTCATAAAAAAAATGGCAAAATAAAGCGAGTGGTAACTTGTTTGAGAGTCTTTAGTAACCAATCTCCACAGAAACATGTACAGTTCAAAACCAAATAAAAGCAAAAAAAAACAAGTGTGAAAACAAACCAACAAAACTTTGATCATTTTTCCCGCTTGGACTGCAACTTCTCTTGTTATTGGCAGCGTTACTAAAATTATTCCAATGATACATAGATGCCGACGTTTTTAAAGAATAGGGGGAAAAAACAACAAAAATTGCGCTGGTTGGTAATTTCTTGTAAAGAATTACAGAAAAATCAGTTGGTAATTTCTTGTAAAGAATTACAGAAAAATCAATGATTATTGCTAAATAAATTCCTATAGCAATCAAACAGTTCTAATTACATCTGTCCAGACAAAACAAAATAACTGATATAGTATCAGAGTCGTTTGCAACAAAATGCTACCAGCGAAAAAAAATTTATTAAATCTGGGTAAAAACAAAGAGTAAGGATTAATTAAACAACCTAGCTAGCATAAAACTACAAACCACTTTAAGCGGTCTGGAAAATAATACCTTTTCGGTCCATCTTGTTTTAATTTTACATTTCTTGGCACGAATGACGAGGTCTTTTCAGGTCTCACCTTGGCCAATATCTCAGAAAGTGGCCGACTATTTTTTTGTACAGGTGGACTTTCAGACCTATCCTTCCTTTTTCGAGGTTTCGACAAAGGAAACACCTCTTCATTTCGAGCTGAAAGAACGTGATTTGCTCAATATTAGCCATGCAAGCGAAGCAGGCGAAAAACAAGATAAAACACTAACTGTGGTCGCTGTAAACAAATTAATGCGAACACTGATGCTCTTTAAACAATACAGGTTGACCAAGTATTACTTACTAAATTCTCTTCTTTTATTAATATCAGGAGAAAGAGGTCCTTGTTTCCACACTTCCTCAGTTGTAGTGGCTGATGGCTGTGCTGTTGATAATGTGCGGAAATCTGCACCAACCGGAAGATCATCATCATCTGAGACCTGGAAATCTCAAATTTCTTGATAAAATCTAAAATGGTAAAAAAATTTCACAAATCTTTTCAGAAGTTGAACCTAACAGTGGTCTCTGTTAAGGTTGCTTTAAAAGGCAAATTCCACCACAAAAAAACAAACTGTCTCGTGTAAATGACAGTTTATTTTTCCCTGAGCCACCGAAATTTGCAATCACCAACCCCACTTATAAAACTCCCTCAATGTACTACCTAAAAATCCGAAAACGATTTCCTTAAGACTCTCCCTCAATCTACATTAAAATGATAAAAGAAAAGGTTTTCAACAAAGTACTCAAAAGAAGAAAAACCAAAACTTCGAAACAGAAAAAAAGTAAAATTAAGGAAAGATGCCCCAGAAAAACTCACGAGGTAGACCTGCTAGACCTTTTAACGTCGAAAAAATTTATGTAAAAGAAGTTCTATCTCATCCTGTCCCTTAAGTCAATAATTATTTAGTAAAAAAGGCAGTAAAACGACCTTGCAGCAGAAATGAAAAATGTACCCGTTCAAGAGCAGATTCGACGAACGACTTGTCATTTGTTTTTAAATTTGAAGGT